CCTGGCGCAGCCACCCGAGGGAGATCGGCGGGAGTTCGCCCGGCCGGGAGGAGGCGGCGAGGTCGTGCGAGGCTCTGAACTGCCCCAGAAGTTTGCTGGCAGAAACTGTTCCCTTTTATTGGCAAAGTCTTCGGGCTCTCCTCAGAGGAATACCCCGTTGCCTAAGATGAGTGGCTGTAGGAAGCGGTGTAAGCGGGAAATAATGAAATTTGCCCAGTACCTTCTCAGGCTAATCACAGGTTCTCTTCACACAGGTAATGACTGTTTTTCTCTGTAGTCGAGCTGTTCAGCATGATAACAAGAGAATTGCCTAAGGATAATACAGGGTTGTCATTGTTTTATATTATCATTCCTTTCATCTTATAAATAATAATAAAAGAAGATCTGTGAACTACTTTGCGGCTGAGCATAATGAAAACAGAGCACAGTCTGATGTTACTGTGTTTAGACAGTCTGGCATTCTCTGAACCTTTACACACAGGAACCCAAATTGGGGTGTGAGTGTACATGCTTCCACCTGTCCACCTGTATGTGTAAAAGGTACTGCAGAGAAGGCACACTGGTCATAAGGGATGAATCTTATATATTTTTTTATTTTCACTGTTTCTTGGACCGATAATCTTTGACAAGCACACTACATTCTTTTTCTTGGAGGTTTGGTTTTGCTTATGTAAAGATGTAAATAAGCTGCAAACTGTCAATGGGATGTTATAGTATCTTGTAGGACATTTTAAATAACACTTGTGCTTTGCCCTTAAGGAATTTGAAACACGGTGGTTGTCAGCTTTCCTTAGGTAATTTTTTTCTGTAACCTTGGAAAAAGTGTGCAGTACCAGGGAAGGTTTCTAGCTAGACTGAGCAGATGCTGTAGTTTCCTTATCACTTTGGAAAATATACTTTTCTCACAATTCAGCATTTTCTATGACTGTTCTCAACAGCTGACAAATATGATAACTTACATGATGCCATTCTGTATTTATAACATATAATTGCGCTTCTTTCTAGACTTCAGTTACTTTTTTTTCCCTGGCAGAGCTGCAAGTCCAGCATCAGTAGATAATATCCAATTATGCTAACATGATTGGTGAGAATTAAAAGCCATTTATTTAAAGTCATCTGAAAGTTTCAGCTGGTTATTTTTGTTTGTTTGTTTGGTGGTGGTGTGTTGGTTATTTATGTTTTTTGTTTTGGCACTGATGAAAAGATTTGAGAGCAAAGTTGACTCTTCAGTAATAATTGGAAGAACTGATGCATGCAGTTGATCAGACTTGGGGTTACAATGCTATAAAAGTCATAACACAAACAATAACAATGGGTACTTTATAGGATGCTTGTAACTTATGGAAATCTGATACAGCTTTTCATAACTTTGAGTGTCTGGTAACAGAATTTCCCTGCCTTTATTTCCTATATCGTCCTAGTCTATTGTAGTTTCTCTTTTGTGAACTGCATCAACTCAGATTTTTCTGAAAACACTGGCTTCTTGCTCCCGTGGGTTGCTATGGAAATTAAATAATATATGAAGAAGAAAGATGTGTTAGAAATTCATAACAATACTCTTTTCACAAAGTCATCTGAGCTTTTCCTTTCCTGTCTAGTGAATGATACACACACTACTTTATTTTTCAGACTGACATTTGTGCTGCAACCTTTCTCAGCTCATGATTCAAAACTGTTTTCAAGACTTTCTGTGGATACTGATTCATGTGCCATCACTAGAAGTTCTTTTTTTTACAATTAGGCAGCACGTATTCAATGATAAAAAACCAAGTGAAGTGGCCTTGGACATATTTCTTTAAAGGCAAGCAAGCAAAAAAATCCCCACTGTTAGGAAGAGCTGAGATACTTCTGAAGAGATTTTCAGTTTGTTTTTACTACAAGTAATGGTATCTTAGTACTCTTATTAAGTTAATAGACTTCATCATGTTCAAATGATGTGGCAAATGAGATCACGATAATGTGATAATATGTGCAATGCCAAGGGAGGTAGAGCTCCACTGTTAAGCTCTTGCATAGCCCAGTCCTACTCAGTAACCTCAACTGTTGCAAAACAGTTACTGTTCACCCTGAAAAATCTAATGCATAATTCAGTCTCTTGATAATTAGTTGATAATTAATGAAGATGAATGAGAAAGCCTAGTTGAAAGTGTTAGAAAGTTACACTTTGTATATTAAAATACTGCTGTTTCTATCTTGAGCATTCAAAAATTTAGGATGGGTATCAGAAACAAAAAAGTGTGCTTAATTAACTTAGAAACAAGCAATTTTCTCACCCAAGTGACCAATTAATTACAGAGTGTAAATGTTTACTAAGAAGCACGATGGTGAACATAATTTAATTTCCTTGTTGATGTGATTTGTCTTCTAGTGTCTTTTTCAGGTGTTCCTTAATATGTAAGTTATACTTAATAGTTTGGGACTACAAATTCCTGAAAGTACTTGCACTGAGTCTAACCCTTCCCTTCTTCCTGAACGGATAGGCATGTTGAATATATACTTAATCTACACATGGGTACCAACTCTGCTGCAGCTGGTGTGATTATGTTGATCAGAAAACAAAACAAATTGATAGGAGGGAGAATGGGTTTACTGGCTATGGGCCAGGATAAGGAGTCACTTTTGATTACTGATTTTATAGCTTGTGTTTCATAACCATTTATAGCACTACAAACCTGTTCTGTGGTAAATCTCAATGTTTAAAATAAAAATGGTCTCATATAGCTGTCTGTAAAAATATATAAGCATGGACTTGTGCTTCATAGTCCTCTCAGCTGGAACCAATATTAATGAAACTACCCTCTTGCTTGAAGGTAAATGCTGTATAAATCTTTACTATGGGTTTTAAGTGCCAATCTCTGCGTGAATACATCCAGATCTCTCAGGGGTTTTTTTACAGCAAGTCACTACGATTGATAGCAAAATGTAGTGAAAAGAAATAGTCTTTTAAACAAAGTTTTTAATTTCCCATGATTTCTGTTATCTAGTAAGTTGATGTGTTTCTACAAGAAAAACATCCCCTCACTGAGGATGGCAAAGCAAATATCATGTCAATTCCTACTTCATTGCTTCCTGCCTCTTGACTTGCAAGCACCTGGTCTTTGAAACAGTGTCATAAAATCTTGGCACTGCTCTTGAGAATATTTTAGTTTTTCGATGCAACATGGATT